ATCGGGGAAAAGATCGATAGTGTGTCACCGCCTTAAGATCCAGTATGATCAGATCTTCCAATGTGGGAACAAGATCCGATATGCTTCATTTACATGTTCCGTACCTGAATCAAATTTCGTTCTTCTCGAAGTGTTGTATCCAATCGCAATTTAGCTAATCAAATTAACTTTTCCTATAGTAACTATTGTGCTGCCTTTATAAAGTTGCCTGTGTCATATTTAAAGTGTGGACAACACTTTTTACAAATCCCCGAACTCCCTACAACCCTTACGAACACACTCCAGTCATGTCCGCCATTGGCGATGGATAGCAATAGGCAGGGCCGGTTTAACCCATACGCGAACTACGCGGCCGCATATGGCGCCACGAAGAAGTGGCGCCGTGGCGCCAACGGAACATTTTTTTTTTACGTGGACAACGTAATTTTGTTTATTTTTGCTCAGAGTTCAAGTATTCAAAGCACCACAATAAAGGCATTTATTCTGTTTGTACCGACAGCACTTGAAAATTGTGTATATTTGTACAGCACTACAACTCAAGGACTCAATGCCATTTGCAGGTTCGATTTGAACTGAGCTGACGCTCGGCAGTCTGCAGTCGGCAGCGTCAGCGCCAGCGCGGCACATATGGGTTTCATTTCACGAATCACTCATGCTCGAGATAAGCAAGCGCGCAGCGCCACTTGTCACAACAAGAAACTTCCCCTTTCTTTCACTCCTTTCTGCCTCTGATCCTAGAGCAGAGCATTACGTTGTATTGCACTCTTTTAGTTGTATACGTAGGCCCACGATTACTAGAAAAATACCAGTATGGATCATAAACATAAACAAATTACGCTATTGACCCGAATCCTATAAATAGCATTGAACATATGTTTTGGCAGTTCCATTTAAGCAATGTTTAAATAATGTTTATTTTCGGTCCAAAAACGTCATTTGTTTATGTTTATGATCCATACCGGTATTTTTCTAGTAATCGTGCGTAGGCCTATACCGTGTCGGTATCGTATTGGCATTGTTTTGATGATTCATGATTGTTGATAAGCGAATTATTACGAGTGCATTAAGTTTAATTTATAATTAGCGCATTAAATAAAAAGAAAGTATAAACTGAATTAATGAGTAAAACATATTCGAGTCGAAACTATGAAAACAATGGCAGAAAAAAAAGAAACCGTCTGGCACTTATCATAGAAAGCGTAAGGCGAATTTGGAAGAGGAAGAAAAAAAAGCCAAATCAATGAGTAGACTTTTGTAGAAATCATCTGGTGGCGAGTCCAGTCAGCCAAAAGAAGTCACGATAGAAGACGGCAATGACGTAGGTATTTATTTATTTATTTTCGAAGGAAAGATTAAAACAAGCAGCTGATCACTTAACGGCAAACATTACGTCATTGCCGTCTTCTATCGTGACGTCATGCTTGACGAGCATTACATTACGGCCTGTTTTTTTCGTGTGTCCTTGGTTTTGCTATAGTTTATATGATGAGTAAAAGTGTATAAATGTCACATTTCTGCGAATAATAAACAACCTTTTATTGCAAGTTAGTATTCTTCTACCTAAACTTTAAAAAAAATTCTTCCCAAAATTATTGGGAAAAAATTTACAAATACGGTTAAGTTATGTTCATGGGTTTGGGGGGGGGGAATTCTAAGTGGCGCTGATTTGGGTGTTCGCTTAACTCTGAAAAATTCCTAGAACCGGCCCTGGCAATAGGGGTTGAAGGACAGTGAAATCTTAATTTGTTGACAACCCCTGTAAATCTAAATATATAATACCCCCGCCGCAGCAAACCTGCAGACTAAGCGAATTTCCATTTGACAGATTGGATGTACACTGAAATGTCTACTTAAAATTATAACATTTATTCCCGATTTAAATAGAGTTAGTTTAACAAGTACTTAGGTTTGCTGCATCAGGGAGGGTAAAACTGTTTTTTTTTTTTTTTTTGTAAAATGTTAATAGTTAGTAAGAAATAAAAACATTTTCCAAATTTGATCAAAATATGTTCATAAACAAGCAAACTACAACCGTTTACTTATTCTCCATAAGAATAACATGGGAATTTTAAATTTACAATTTTTTGGAATTTTCTCCGTAACCATTAGGCGCATAATAACGCTTCGATATACTATATTATTTTTTTTTTAAGCTCTACAAAATGGTTTGGAAAGAAATTGCAAAATTTTATGTTTTTTTGGGTCAAAAATGGGAAAAACCTATTTTTACCCCATAAAACCCCCCATAAACCCCCGTTCCCATGATCCGATCATGCTGGATCGCGAACTCGTTCGAATAAACGTAGGTTTACACGTTTGTACCAAATTTCATCAAAATCGGATCATTTTTGCTTGAGTTATCGTGCTAACGGACACACACACATATGTATATGAATTTGAACGAATGGTGTTTTTGGCCTCTAGGGACCTCAAAACGAAAAAAAAAATCGGTCCCGCGTCCAGGTTTTACCATTCGCTAATAAAAGGCAAAGCCCTCACTAACTGATTGACTGACTCGCTCACTCACTCACCACTAATTCTCCCACTTCCCTTTTACCTAGGAGGCTGAAATTCGGTACACCGATTCTTTGGGCATTAAATAGGAAAACTAAGTAGTTTTTATTCTGATCGGGCTTTCGGGGTGCGCCCTAGTGGCTCTGGAGTTTTCCATGTTAATCTTATGATTTTTCTTTCATATTTAAAAGGAATTTCTTCACAGCTGTTTCAATTAATCAAGTTGGTTCTATTCTATGATGTTCAATAGCATTAAAGTTACAAGGATTACCACCAGGGTGCAGCACTATTATTTTTTACTTTCTCCCCCTATACCATAGTATATAAAGAAAGTATTGTTTTCGTCAAAATTTTCGAGTTTGAGTTTTGAGTGGATATATTCGTTTTGGGTCCCCCTGGACCCAAAAAAGTGGTTTTCGAAGTGATGTCTGTGTGTGTGTGTGTGTGTGTGTGTGTGTGTCTGTGTGTCTGGATGTGTACAGAGCTAGAGACTACACCTGTGGTCCGATTTCGATGTAATTTGGTATGTAGGTTCTAATCCATGGTATCTCCAGGCGTTTTTTTAATTTTTTTTGAAATTTTGATTTTTAATGGGGATTTTCCCATAAAAACCCATAAAAAACAGGAAAAATCGGATTTTCTCAAAAATGGCCCGAACGATTTTGATTAAAATTTAGTATGTTGTAGCCCTTAAACTTCTGAACAAAATAGTACAAATCCCATTTCTGTAAAAATTACGGTTCAAAAGTTATGGTAAATTATGTTTTTTTCCCATAAAAACCCCATAAAATAACGAAAAATAGGATTTTAGACAAAAATCCAGTTTTTATTTAACATAGTAGGTTATGGTCCTTACAATTTTGATAGTTTTTTTCATTTTTTTTAGAAATTTTGATTTTAGATAGGGATTTTCCCATAAAACCCCATAAAATAACGGAAAAATAGGATTTTCCCAAAAATGGCCTGAACGATTTTGATAAAAATTTAGTATGTTATAGTCCTTTATATTCTGAACAAAATGGTACAAATCCCTTTTCTGTAAAAATTACGGTTCAAAAGTTATTGTAAATTATGTTATTTCCCCATAAAAACCCCATAAAATAACGGAAAAATCGGATTTCCCAAAATTGGCTCCAACAATTTTGATAAAAATTTAGTATGTTATAGTCCTTTAAATTCTGAACAAAATTGTACAAATCCCATTTCCGTATATTTACTCTCACCGCTTTTATACATGATAAAGGTTGTTTACAAACTTATGGGAGAAAGTATGTGTCAGATTGCTGATACCGTTTATTTTAATTTATGACTACAGCCAATTTGCAACCAAAGGGTGAGTGAGCGTAGCGAACGAACTTCAACCTGGAAGCGAGTTAGCGTAGCGAACGAGCTAACCTGAAGGCAAGTGAGCAGAGCGAACGAGCTCTAACCTAAAGGTGAGTGAGCATAGCGAACGAACTTCAACCAGGACGTGATTGAGCCATGCGAACGAGCTCACTTGTGAAGTTAAACGGGGCAAAGCCCGCGGGTACAGCTAGTATCAAATGAATGAAAGCTCTTAATCTCGATAATTATTAAAGATAACTTTTGCGGGTCAAAACAGAGTACATCGAGGGCATTGCCTAATGGTTTGTTCAAAGTTGTCCATGCAATTTGAAGGGATTCATTTTTTATCTTGAATTAAAATGATTTTCTAACTATACAACGGAACTGTAAGAACGGAAAATGCATTTATCAAAGTCAACAAATTTATCGTTAGAAAGGTTACCCATCCAGTCGTTTCTATTTGGGCCTAACAGTGATGTAAAATAAATAAATAATCCATATTAGGAAAAGCAAAGCGCGGAATACCAAGGGCTGGCAACGTATTTAGGGTGGAAAATTATTAGAATTAAATATCTTTCAAAGGCAAACCCCCAGCGGAAAGAAGGCCCTGACAAAGACCAAAGAATCACTGGAAGGACTAGGTGGAGAAATATTTTCCAAAATTAAGATCAGGGCAAAAGATTTATAATCTTACTTGTTGGTTACTTGTTGGCGAGGCCAAATACCACCTAGGGTATTCATGGTCATGGGAGTAAGTTAAGATGTAACATAAATAAGCAAATATACAATCTTGCTTTCAAAAATAAAAAATATTAATACCCTTGCATCTAATTTCTTAGTACACTATAGAATAGTTTGATAACAAAGAATCTAAAGATAAAACTGTAATTTGTATTCACACCAACATGCAAATACAAAATATGCTCATTTGCATTAAAACATTCATCAGAACCAAATGCATACAAATGTAACAATTTGTTTAAGACAATTTTTAGTAAACTACTCGCTGAGTTAAGCATTAGTCCAAGTTATGAAAGTTTGTAAAAATCTCTCATTTCACTAGTTGATGATGACATCACAGCGATGGCAGATACACCAGCTGTTCACACGTATCACAAACATGACATTTAATGCTAATGATCTGCGAAAATGTTGTTATCATCGACAAATCGACGGATTCTGCGGTTCTGTAGTTTTAAGCTAAAACTACAAGCATGAATTACGTTGTATTTTTTGGTGTTTTGACCGTCGTAAATCTCTCAATGTTAACTGGGGTGAGTTTATGTTTTGTTAGGTTAAATTTAATTTAATTTAATTTTGTAGTTATTTATACATGAAAACTTGTAGAGTATAACTTTAGGAAACAACTTGTAATCAAGATATTTTTGTTATAGACAACAGTGTCTCACAGTGTAACTAAGTTTGTTACTAAGCTAAGACTAAGTATATGTTTCCTTTAAAATGATGTTCAATATTTACAATATTTTACCACTCTAACTACTTAGACAATAGGTTATTTATTGTTTAAATTACCAGGTACGAAATTACAGTAAAACTGATATGTGTGTATACAAATGTGCGAATTATTTATCATTATTATAGAATAACTTATATTTGGAGATATTGGCAATGAATGATGAAATGTATAACTAATTTTAAAAATTCAAAAAGGCCAATATTACATTAATTTCATATATATACAATTTATTATATATTGGCCTTTTTGAATTTTTAAAATTAGTTATTCATTTCATCATTATTATAGAAGTTCATTGAATATTTTATGGCTTACACAATTCATAAATTAACCTAAATCAAGTTTCCCCAATTGTCGGTGTTACTTGTTATACGCAATAAAATGGACCTGACACAAATCAGCAACGTTTTACCAAATCGTATATTTAGCCAAATGATCGAAAAAATTTTTGACACAAATCTCACGAACCTTAATGCATACCTTTCTTAAGTAATTTTGAAAAAAGATTAATTAACTGGAAATCGCTTGCTGTGGAAGCTTACAAATAATTAGGACAAAAATATTTCGCTCTAATTGATATAAATCTCCTGTTTCAGCTTCTAATCTACAGGCATCAATTGGTTAAAAAAGAAGCCGCTAACCACTTGATGAATAGGCCTACAGAATATTCGTCCAGTCATCATGTTACCACAAATGGCGCAAACACAGACATTCCATCTACAGGCATTCCACCAACAGGCATTTCATCTACATCCAAGGCCGGAAAAGGTATATTTTGGACAATTATATGTAGGCTAGAGTAGTATTTAAGTTTGCCAGCGCATGATTCTGTATTGTAATATTATATTTCATAAGTCCCGAAACTAACCCATTTTGGGAAAGATAATGGCAAGGGCGAAAACACCAATCAGTGAGGTTGCATAGGGCTTTACTTTAAGAATACCGTTACCTGGCGGATAAAGGTACAAAATTTGGCATGAAGGTACCTTAAGATATGATGATAAATTTTATTAAAGTGGTTTAAATACCTGTAATGTTGATAATCCAATCGGTTGTGAAATAACTAGTTTCACAACCGATTGGATTATTTACTGTTTGCTTGTACAAAGCAAACATTTGTTTATGAAATCTGAAATGAATTCTTTAAAAGTCACGAACCCGCAAGCTCCAATACTCCGTGGACTACCAAAGATTCACAAGCTCGACATATCTATAAGACCTCTTGTCAACTCCACGCCTTCACCAGCATATAAAGTGGCAAAGAACTTGATAAGATAATCAGAAATGAAATTATTTTAGAGAACAACCATAGCCTTTAAAATAGCCTAGAATTAATTGAGAAAATGAAATCACTGTCAATAAAAAAATAACCAAAGACTAGCATCATTCGATATTGTGAATCTTTATACAAATATCCCTATTAACGAAACAATAGACATCCTCAAACTCAACTTATTGAAGAATTCCAAACTTTCACCTGACGCGATAGATGATCTGATAAAAGTAACGAATGTTGTTCTGAAACAGAATTATTTTAAATTTCAAAATAACTTCTACATCCAAAAAGAAGGGTTAGCTATGGGCTCCCCTCTATCAAGCATTTTAGCCGAAGTATTCTTAAATGACCTTGAAAACAAAACATTGTTCACAGACGCTAACCGTTGCAGAGATAAAATAATCTTTTACCATAGATATGTAGATGACACAATAATTGTTCTTTTTAACGGAAACAGCAGGCAGTTGACCCTGTTAAATACATATTTATGCAAAATCCATAAAACATCCGATTTACTCTAGAAGAGGAGAAAGACGGCTCTATCAACTTTCTCGACCTCACCATCTTTAAACAACACATGACCACTTTGAATTTAAGATCTATAGAAAACCGACTTGCACTGACCAAACCATTAATTCAGAGTCACGCCATCCATACTCCCAAAAGATGGCTGCATACAACAGTTTTGTACACAGGTAATTGACAGTACCAATGAATACAAAAGATTATGAAGAAGAATTAAATACCATCAAATACATAGCTGTAAAAAATGGATTCAAAAGTAGTATAGTAGATAAACTGGTTGCTAAACAGCTGAATAAAGATAAAAACAAAACAAAAGAGCCTAAGACGTTTTTATCGGATGACTTTGGAACTCATCTAAGTTACAAATTTAAAAATTTCATGGCCAAGAACAACATCACAGTAGCATTTAAATCTGTCAACAAACTTGGCTCTTAAGTTAAAGGAACGTCCTCTCATGTCTACATCAAACTACGATAAGAAAGGTGTTTACCAAATCAATTGCAGCAATTGTGATAATTATTTTATAGGCCAGACATCACGCTCTTTTGCAAAACGTTTTAAGGAACACATCCTCAAGAAAACCACGTCCACTCAATCATCAACTTTTGCAAAGCATTTAATCACAAACAACCATAGCTATTCCAACATCAACGATAACATGACTGTTCTACATTTTAATAATAACAAGTTTCAGATCAACACGCTAGAAGAATTCGAAATTTATAAGGCAGTCAAATCGGACAAACAAAACGTGCTAAGCGACAAGCTTACATTCGCATCTAATTTTATTTAAGTTTACAACACTACAATAGAAATAATGGAAAGGGAGAGGGAGAAGAATGAAACCCACAAACAACCTGTTACCACAGAAAACATATTACTATAACCAAGTTATAGTAATATGGTTATAGTAGTATGTTTTCTGTGCTGTTACTGATAAGACGCACCGACCATAGTCCCCGGCAGTCTAGACGTAAACTCCCGCCGGTCACATCGTTAAAGCTAGGCCTAGGCATGCGTGTTACGTACGTGTTTTAAATGTTTGTTATGATTTGTAAATATTGTGAATTTTGACGACCTTCGGAAGAAGTAACAATGTCCTTGGGAAAACCTGAAGAAGGCTCCATTGTGAGCCGAAACTAGTTGTTTCACAACCGATTGGATTATCCACATTACAGGTATTTAAACCACTTTAATTGTATCTTGATAATCCGGATCTTGTTTCCCTCCCTTCCCCATAGCATTTTAGGATTGCCAATAGCCTTATCTAATCGTCACAAACGGTTCCCACCCTCCGGACTACTTGCCTTGACTACTTCCTTCACCACTTCCTACATCGCGGACCTGATTCCCTCCCTTCCCATAGAATTTTAGGATTGCAGATACCTTAATGTTATCGTAAAAAACAGTTCCCACACTCCGGACAGCTTGCCTTTACTACTTCCATCATCACTTCCTACGTCACGGACCTGTTTCCCCCCTTTCCCATAGCATTTTATGATTGCAAGTAATTGTCATAAACAGATCCAACACTCCGGACAACTTTCCTTTACTACTTCCTTCACCACTTCCTACGGTCGCAGACCTGTTTCCTTCCCTTCCTATAGCATTTTAGGATAGCAGATAACCTTAATCTAATCGTCATAAACAGATCCCGCATTTCGTACTGCTTGCCTTTACTAGGCCTACAATGTATTAATCAATTTAATTTAATTTAATTTTAATTTAATCAACCAATGAACACATGCTTCAACGCTTCAACTTCAAGCCTTTTGTTTACTTTTTCCTTGTTATTTAATTTAATTCAACCAACATGGTTACTTATAGCAACCCATAAGACTAATGTTAAAAAAATGTGACTTTCAGTTTCGTTTTTCTACAATTAGATTTTTGTTGGCAGTTCTAACTGCATGAAACTCGTTTTTAGGCCAAAAATAAACTATTTACAAGATTTGAAGAAAATCGTCGGAGCCGTTTTCGAGATCTTCCTGCAAGCAAGCAAGCATACATACAAGCAAAACATTGCTCGTATTAGAGTATAGGATACTCATAAGGTTAACATGAGGAACTGCAGAGCCACCAGGGCAGAGCCCGAAAGGATTTTTGAGTTAAGAATATGCCTATATCTTAATCAGGAATGTGAGCTATCATCATGCCAAATTTCAGCCCAATCCGACCAGTATTTTTCGCGTTTACTTGTCACAAACATACATACATACTACATCCAAACTTTCTCATTTATAATATTAGTAGGAGTATGATTTTGAAGACAGAATAAAGGCAAAAATATGTAAAATCAATAGAATACTTAACAGTACCGTAAATGAATTGTTTCCAGTTTACAAAGTCGGCGCCTTCGTGAAAGATGACAAAGGAAAGAAGTTGATTTCCATAGCAACTACGAAGAAAAATTTCAAGATGGCGTGTCTCCCTTTGCCAGAGGCTCGGCAACATTGTGCTACCAAGACGAAGGAAACTCATCTGCATTACGTAGAACTTCTAGATGGACCGGACATGTTTGAGGCTTACTGTACTTCGGACCCCTCCGTCGTCCTGGACAACGTCAAACACCTCTGCTCGCGCAATGACTGTGGCGGAAATGTGTGCACAACGGTATACGTGTTGCTAATCAGAGTGAACAAAGGGGATAAAGAAGAATGCAAGATTAAGAGCTTCGCTTCGCTGAACGGTGGATTCCAAAAACGTGGCGAAGACGATTGCCCAACACAGTCACAAAGGTCAAAATTGTTGGACGAATGCGAGGCAAAGTAAGTACGAAGGTGAATAGTTGAATGAGTAAAATGTCAGGAAGAATAAAAATGATACCTGTATACTAGCTTAAATAACTGTGGTCATGTATCTATAAAGGTATTTACCTACAAATATTGAACCGTGACAATTACTTAAGAGTTGAATTACATTAGTTATTAAATAGTAAATACGTTTGAAAAAAGCTACTATAATTGTTCTTTTTTTGCATGAAAATCTTGATAGATATGTAAAATAGAGATATGTATAACTTTATCATTACACTAGCTGTACCCGCGGGCTTTGCCCCGTTTCACTTCTTAATTTTCAAGATGATCTCGTTCGCATGGCTCAATCATGTCCTGGTTGAAGTTCGTTCGCTACGCTCACTCACCTTTAGGTTGGAGCTCGTTCGCTACGCTCACTCATCTTTAGGTTGGAGCTCGTTCGCTGCGCTCACTTGCCTTCAGGTTAGCTCGTTCGCTACGCTCACTCACCTTTTGGTTACAAATTAGCTGTTGTCATAAATGTAAAAGAAATAATGGTGCTGCACCCTGTTGGTAATCCTTGTAACTTTAATGCTATTGAACATCATAGAACAGAACCAACTCGTTTAATTGAAAAAGCTGTTATGATTCATTAACTCCATTTAAATATGAGTACTCATTAGGTTAACATGGGAAACTCCAGAGCCACTGGGGCGGAGCCCGAGAGTCCGATCAGAATAAAAACGACTTAGTTTTCCTATTTAATGCCTAAAGAATCAGTGTACCAAATTTCAGCCTCCTAGGTAAATGGGAAGTGGGAGAATTAGTGATGAGTGAGTGAGTGAGTCAGTCAGTGAGGGCTTTGCCTTTTATATATAGATATGTGTGTGTCCGTTAGCGTGATAACTTGAGCAAAAATGTTAAATGTTAAATACAAATAGCGTTAAACTATTGACAATCTCAATAGACATCATAGTATAACAATTTTTTCAGAGATATGATCAGTCTTGAAGATACGGCATGGAGTAAAGAAGCAAATATTGAATCTTTATGTAAAGTAGAAGATGCCCCTACTAGTAACTCTGCTCCTGAACCAGCACCGGCTGCGGGAACGTCTTAACCAACAGAAGAGGAAATGAGTCAACCATGTCTTAGTTTTGAAGATAAAAAGACAAAACTTGAATTTACCATTTTAATTTTAATTACAACCATCCTTTATCCAATATGGCATGATCTAATATTAGGCAAATATTCCTGTAGAAAAGTAGCTATCAATTCTACTTATATTCTAATTTATATATATACAAATTCATTATATATAATGTATATACTTTATATATACAGTCAAATTCATCCGTCATAAACAGTGCCTGAAAACGATAACAATCAATTCTACTTACTCAGCAATTGAAAACTTATTTAAATAGACATCAAATAATGTAAGCAATTTGCTTACCATTGTTCAAAAGTCTGAACACAGGTTTTATTTAATAAATAAATTGTCTAAAGTTGATCAAGTGGCTTTATTACACATAGACCTTATAGTTGTATATATTGTGATGCATGATTTCTCCTACTATTTAATACAAATTCATTGGTACATAGCTATAAATTATTTACAATAATGATTCGTCTACAGAATGGTGATAACAAAAATAAATAAATCCTGTGTTTAAATAACTAAATAACCAATATATTGGGATTTTTGATAGGGTAGCCCTAAAAACCTAAAAATATTACCTAAAAGTAGGAAAATCCTAATAACCTACGCCCTTGTGCTTTATGTTACACCCTGAATTAAAGGATATTGTTAGTAGGTGAGTACCATGGATGTAATTACGATAAATGAACCATATAAATTTTTGTTTATTACATGATGCAATTCTGAGTAACACATTTCCATTTATAAATTGGGGACAAAAGTACAATCTGAAAATCATTTAAAGGGTGCAGAGTTATCCATTATGTTAAAGGAACATGCCATGTGCTCTGGCCAAGTCAGTGGAGTAGGGCGGGGTCTGAATCTTAATTCGCCAAAGTTTGCCTTGAAGAATATTAAAGCTACCCAAAATTCTATCCTTATCTGTTAAGATGGTTTTAAAAGGGCGCCACCCCATTAATCATACCCTGGAGTTCATGTGATGGCAATGGGGAATCCATCCTGATGGGTCAGTTCATCAGATAACAAGATAACGTTTTGGTAATGCAGATAATTACTATAAAGATAAAGAAAGTTTGACTGTTCATGCAATCTTATAACTAAACAGCGAATAAATTATGTACACTCAAAATATACCAAAAGAATTGATTAAAATTCAAAAGACTCTAATTCAAATTGTTTTGTAAATTCACACTAAATTATTTGTGTCTAGACAGGCAAATAGATGATAACCAGTTAGCAGACACAATATTTATTCAGCTATCAGATTGTCACATACAAAATACATCATTTAAATGTGGCTCCAATTTGTATATTCAACCCTCAATGTCACACAAGCCACAAAATATTCAAATAATAAAGTATTTCAAAAATTTACTTAAATAAATCAGATATTGTCTGCTCAAGATAAACTTTAGTATATGTTTCACCAAAAGCAAGATATTCAGCAAATAATACTACAACATGAAATTAATTAATCAATTGAGTGCAACTGCAGGTGGCCACCGTGCTGAAAAGACGTTTTAAGTACATATAAATTCTCAAATACATCCACATAACCATAAAAATATCATCAAACAAGAACATGCACACTACTTAAATCTAACAAGGCTAAATAATTTATAATAAATATTCTCCAATGAGGCGTGACGACATCCAGGCACTCAAATATTCCTGTGGCACTTAATAGTCTCACACACGCCTAGAGGTGGGGGCACTCAAGCACCAAGTGTCCACAATGTCTGGCTAGCCAAGTGTTTATTTGATTATTCCGGGATAAGCTGTGAGATCAGATGGTAAGATATTTTGGACTAAAGAATAAGATGTCTGACTTATCGGTTGAAGACAGATGATCTCGGGCTCGGTTTGAAGTAGGTAGGCCCAGAGCATCAAGGGTGATTGACCAGTCAGGCAGTCCAGGTCCAAATGTCCAGAAACATAGCAGTGGGTAGACCAAGTGCGGTAGAGTGCAAAGCAGTGACCAGAGTGTCCAGGCTGTTGGATCCAAATCCCAGCAGCAGTAGCCAAAAAACCCTACAAAATTCCTTACTGAATAGTACATGATCTCACCATAAACGTAATATATATATATATATATTTAACAAAACAAGTTCTAGTGCCACACTTTTAAGCCAAAACATAACTTTTGAATGTGATTGTAATGAATTATGCTCATGCTCTTGTAAAACATTAAATAAATGTAATGGTTGTTCCCTGTTTAAATAAATAATTCAACTAATTTGTTCTAGTGAGGATTACAAATAACAATCCTACATAAATACAAATATTTAAATATTACCAAATATTTCCACCAAAGATATATGCCAACCCAAGTTCAAAAATAATAGATCAAAATATGCAACTTTGTAAACAACTTCTTGTGATAATGCAAGGTCCTGGAAATTATCTGCATAGTAATCTGTTTGATCTGTATTCCAAATAATATGCTACAATTGTAACTGCCCAAAAGCTTATACAGTATGATTTTATCATTGTATCACACCTACTATGATGTATTGAATTCATACAATAATTATTTTAACCTCAAGAATCTATTACACATTAAATTACACATCAAACAATGAGTTCACTAACTATAATTTTTGACCCAGTTAAAAATTGACAAAATGGAACATAAAATATGCACAATTAAATAAGTTTGACCTAGACAATGTAGCTACATAAAATGTTGATTATTAAAAATATAGCCTAATATTTACAAATTTGCTAACGTTTGAGATATTATTTACAGTTTTCAGCAAAACCAAGTAATTAATTTAATAAAAATACTACTGGATTATTAATATTTTAACATTTACAGCCCAACAATGATTGTAATTTACTTCAATCAATATTCACAAAATTTTATGTACAACAATTGTTAACTTTAAATGTTAAGTTATGCTTGATATTAAATTAACACTTATAACGTTTATTTTACTTTGATTAACAGCAAAACTCCTAATAAAATATATTTTACCTATTTACAAAGTTTTAGAAACATGTGCTTTTTGAGATTGTCTATGCATGAAAAGTCAATGTTAGAATTTTATAATTCCAACAAAATTAATCATTCAAGGCAACATAAACTACTTATAATTTGATTTTGAACATACAAATAACAAATAAAATATCTGCATTAATATCCTCAATAAAATATTCCTGAAGAGAAGAGGGTGTTGTCCTGGATATCCACAATCAGTCAGGTCGGCTTCCACACCATAAATGCACAGTTTTCCTTATCCATCAGTTGGGCTCATCAGTACTCATGCACAAACCTGAGGGCTACTGATGGTCGGCGTGTAGCTCCCTTGACTACAGATTGAATTTATCTTGCTCCTTCAGTGGGGAGGCGGCAATTGCAAGACCTACTAGCAATATTGTGTGTTGGGGCAGTTGAAGGCGTCCCTCCAGACAGCAATAATTACTATCGGGTGATCAGTCCGATTTCCCCTTGTTTTAAACATTACTAGCAACGTTACAAACACAATGATGCAAACCCGAGGTGGATATCTCAGCCTTAGGCAAAATGGCAGATATTCCTAAATATGATTTACTGTATGTGAAAAAGCATCACACAAATCTCTATTTTTAAAACAGAAATAGATAGAAATATTCTGTTTGTGGAATTGTTTGTTAACATAGATTCATCAACTTCTACATCAACAATTTTTTTAAACTCCTTTAACAGGGTAGGGGGTGGGGGTGACTATTTTTTTTATAACAATCCCTATTGAGTGACCCCTCATTTTGAAGGGTTTGTCAAAAGAAACACAATGATGCAAACCGGAGGTGGATATCTCCCTAGGCAAAATGGCAGATATTCTAAAATTTGATTTATGTGAAAAAGCACCCATGGAGCACCCGTTGGTGTATAAACGTAAACACCAATATTTTTTACCAATAATTTTGGTGTAATGTTATATTTACTGCAAAAATTAAATCGCACTAGAGGAGCCTTTGGGCCTGTTAATACTGGATAAGAAATGAGAAGTTGAATGTTTGGATTAGTGAGCCAGAGATTGCTCTTTTCAATTTGCAGTTTTCCAGCTGAACATTAGACAAAGTTATGTGATGTAAATGTGTTGGTGGATAAAGACTCTATTGTCAACATTTAGTCGTTATACTCGTTTATACAATTGCTTCGTTGTTGGAATACGATTAAAAAATAAGAATGGTTGTGGCTAAAAAAACCTCAGCAGAGTTGATTTTATCCCTACTAGGTTCATCACTGGCGATAAGTTAATACATATGGATTAATGTTCTTAAATTGAATAAATAGAACCCTGTTTTAGAAGCACATAAGCTATTGTGTAATAGCATTATATAAAAAGAAACCGATTATTGAAGGAAAAAAATGCTATGAAATCGATTATGCCAACTATAACATTTAAAACTTAAATGTTGTCTAAAAACAACCAACAAGTTATATTTATCAGGGTTGAATAGAAATGTAAAACTGTTATACTAAGGAAATTTCATTAATATTTGATTTTTATAATGGAATGACTGTGTGCCATTTTTGTAATAAAGTTTGTGCAATAAAGTTAAATTAAAGTTTAAGAAAGGCGCTCATTAAGAAGCTGGGTAAACTACTTTCAGTAATTTCTTTCAAATATAATTACAGCTGTATTCCTGCTGCATATTAAACTCTCCTTTACAGACAATAAGACTGTATTAGTATTCTTATGGTCTACATACATGAAATAGTTACATACCCATAGTTAATTTTAGAAACAACACCTAATTTTACTGCTTAGTTGTATATAATTATTTTCTTTCAAATAAGCTATAAGGGGGTTAAATTTTTCTTATAAGCCTAGTACGGTGTATTAGTGGCCCTGATGTAAGTTAAAAATTCTATAACCATATAATTTAATATGAAAAGAGGCACTTAAAAGGTACTTATACTTGTTAAACCCTCCAATTGTTACACTTTAATTCCTCTATTGTTTGAAGACAATAAATCCAAAAGAACTTAACATCATACCGTACTGTACCAATGAAATAAATTACTTTTTCATCCCTCTGTATTCAAAAATAGCTAATTTCCATACTGCTGAGATCTTCGAAAATCGTCAATTTCCATACACTGAAAACAAATAGTGATCAGCTACCTTTCCTGACACAAACATTACTTTTGCTACATAAACATTACTTTCGCTACACAAACATTACTTTCGCTACAAACAGTATTTTGCCTGACATCGACAAAATTACAATCAGCTGAATTTTACACTAAAATTAATTGTACCGGTACAGCCGTATTGTGTATGGATTAAAAAATGAATATAC